CTTGTGTTTTGTACATTAACCAATTCTAACGTAACATATACACTAAATTGCTTTAATAAATGTCGCTGAGCTGCAGATGGTGGATAATACCCATCAATAGAGCATACACGCCGAAAGTCTAAATGATGGTGTGCGGTTGCTCCATTGATGGTCTTCTGTTTTCTGTGTTTCGCATGACTAACTTGCTCTCTAGAATTCTACATAAGTACCCTAACCATACTGATATGGATATGCGTATATATATCAGACACGTCCAGACTGCGGCTGTCCGACCTTAATTGAGGCTCGCGAGTTATTTACGATTCTTTGTCATCTGAAATGCGAATAAATATAATTTTTTTTTTTTTTTTAAAACAAGGGAATTTGAAATAGAAACTCTGCAGTGCCACGTTTCTTTATTAATCGCTAATTTAATTTCTGATATTAAGTATGTTAAAATTTGATAGATTTCAAACTGTCCACCGCTGGCTTATTGTCAGAACAACAAATACGTAAAATTCCAAATAATTCCACTTCTGGTAATTCTGTTCCGGTTATGTTACTTTTGAACAGGTAATGGTAATCGGAATACACTAATTCGAAGTTAATTTAAAACTCAATATTAATATTTTTATTTAATTATTCTCAATAATATTTTTTCTCTCAAGTTAATTTTACTTCAGTATCTGCTTATATTCCTATGTGATTCGATGGAAGATTTGCTATTCGTTGTAGTGTACTTTTATTCAGTCCACGAATGGCGTGAACTCACGCTGAAGAAACCTGTTTCGTCTTGCAATCCATATATCTTTTAATCTTTGGAAAAATTTACGAGGATTTTATTTTTGGTAGAGTGAACTTTCAGTCTCTTACATGGTTAGGAGACTTATTTCAAATTTTAGCGAAACTCCTTCAAAATAAATTTCCTAGCCCCAAGCAAGTCAGGCATTTTTATGCAATTACTTCATATATTTCGCAACCATTCACAATAATACGCTTAGTGAACACTTTTCCCACATGAAACTCTATCTTTCGTAATATTTCCTTGTTAATCCTAGGCAGAGATCGAAATTTATTTCACCTATTTGAACAGCTAGGTTGAAGGTTTCGGCTGGTAGACCGATGTAACATGTGCCCGACGAAGCCGTTATATAGCCCGGCGTGAACTACTAAATTTATTGGCAGTAGTTTATATATGTTCAGAATTATCGTAACGATTCAAGAGGTGGTTTCGAGAATTTTCAGTGATGTCCATGAACTTCATTATCTATGACCAAAATTATCAGGACGATTTGACAGATAATTTCGAGAATTTTCAGTGATGCACTGTGTATTGATTACTAAAAAATTCTGGTATATTCCGTTGGATGCCACGCTTAAATATTGTATCAGTTAGGGCCGTCATGAAAGATACTCACTATTCAAATATCACTAAAGTTGCACTCATATTCTTTTCATGGTTGTAGAGATATTACATTATTTAAATGCTGGAGAATTGAAAAATGAGCAATGCCTTCGCCGGGAATCGAACCATGGGCCTCTGGTATATGCGCCCCCCAGCGTGCTGATCACTACGCTACGAAGGCATGCAAAGAAACCGGAAGAAATTCAATACGAGATGGGAAGTCATTTGACCGCCGCCGTGATCTTATATACTCCCCTTTTAAAGGGCGACTGGGTTTTTAGGGAACACAACCGCCAAATCCTGGGTGTGAAGGATCATCATTCCCCACCCTTTTAGTTCGGGCGCCACTGTAGAGACATTAGGTTATTTTGAAGCAAGAGAGGTGAAAAATGAGCAATGCCTCGCCGGGAATCGAACCACGCACCGCTGGAATACGCGCCCAGCGTGCGGACTACCACACTACGAAGGAATGCTAAGAAGGTGGTAGAAATACCTTATTGAAAACCAATTTTTTCTTTCCCCCAAACATATTATGCGCTGAAAAATGTGAAATCATTTGAGACTGTATTATGTGAAATGCTTGATACTAATAACAATAATTTAGAAGCTTTGTGAACTCGGAGAAATTTCAATCCTCTAATTCCAATTTTCTCGTTAATTTCATTAATTATATTTAACATTATTCCTATGAATTATCTGAGTTGAATGTTCTCTACCTCTCCCATGAAACTGAAAGTACACCTTTTCATAAATTTCTGTAATGTCTATGAGTGGTATTCATAACACGATAAATGAAACAAAAAGTCGAGTAGCTGATTTTACCAATACCGACATTAACAATGCCAGTATTCAACCTTTAACCTGGCTCTAAAAATTAAGATTATTTACTGAATATACATTCAAATATTTAACAATGAATAGATATGATCTTAATCAACAATTCGTAAAAGTGTTTCAGTGAACTCAAAAATTTAAATATTATTGTAAAGGTTCATGTATTTTCTATATCAAGAGAAGATTGAACGTTTTGTTATAAATACACCGTCCAGTGAAAAATTTAAAAAAATAAAATACAGGGTGTTTATAAAGTCCGGGACACATTTTGATGTTTAATAACTCATAAAATAATATAGATTTAAATTAATAACATAAATGGTTAGATAGACTCAAAACCTTTCGTGATCCTTGTCAATGACCTTCCACGTGTGCTCCCTTCGTCGCATGGAGAATATCAAGTCGATATTCAATTTTCACGCCAAGCACCGACAGGCATGTCGGCATCCACAGAGGCTATAGCAGTTGTCATTCTGGCTTTTAGGTCCTCCATGTTCGACACTCTGCTCCTGTAAATGTTGTCCTTTACAAATCCCCAAAGGAAAAAGTCCAGCGGCGTTACATCAGGTGATCTGGGTGGCCAAGGAATTGGACCTCCTCGCCCAATCCATCTTCCTGTAAAATGGTCATTCAAAGATGGTACCCCGATGAAGTGGTGCACCATCTTATTTCTAAAAGACATGTGGCTGAAGCTCTTCTAGATGTGGAAATACGAAGTTTTCCAACATGTCTAAGTATACGAATGATGAGACCTTCTTTTCTGTAAAAAAGAAAGGCCCAATGGAATCCCTTTATGCCTCACGGTATTCATGGGGGTTTTCAGATAGTTGCCAAAACCAAAAGAGAGAAAAATGCAATTAATAAGCAGACAATATTTAGAAAAGTACAGATATTTAGACTGGAAAATGAAATTATCTGAAATTAACCCACGCGCAGACGATATTTACAAAGTAAGATATTCAAATCTGAAAAAGAAAATATATAAGTTATTCCATCAATAAATGCCATAAGTTGTTTATAGTTTCATTATTTTATGAGTTATTAAACATCAAAATGGGTCCGGGATTATAAAACACCCTGTATTTAATTATTAATTATAAATTATTATTATTCTTTCTATATTGGAATTGAATATTTCATGCCTAATATATTGGAATTAAACATTTTATTCCTAATACATTTTAATTAAATAAACAATATTTGAAATAAACATTAAACTGTAACTTTTATTTCGTTTTGATTATATCAGATACAGGTAATTATTTTTTTGTTTTAAACTCTGTCTGGCAAATTTGCAGGAAATTTATGGACAGGAATTCATCAATAAATCTAAAATTAAAATAATAAAACTATGAATTGAAAAGATTTTAAAAAATTAATGAAGTACACAATAGTAGTAATAAAATTAAAAAATGAAACTTTAAAAAATAACAGCAGTAATTAGTTAATAGATATTTTCATTCTCCATTCTACTATATTTTCAGTAACATATTCTATTAGAAAATTGAAATCTTCCCTGTATTTAACTTAGGAATGGAACATTTTTCCTTTTTATCAAGAATCAGATAACAGAACTTTCACATTCCAGCATTGTATTAAAATGATATTAACTATGTTTATAATATAGAATTAAATCTATATCATTACATAAGTCTATTTCATGTAAAATTATCTGTAATATATATTAAAAAGACGTAAATAGTTAGGCCTGTATTACATGGAATTCGTCCACGGCGTACTTACTCCCTAAGATCATGAACTCTAATTGCATATTCTGAATATTTCATGTTGCATAGTAAATAGAAAAAGCTAATTTTCAATACGAATTATATTATTTCAACGACAGCTTTTAGCATAAAATAATACAAAATTAAACTTCTTTAAATTTGCAAACAATAATTTTACCATCAACATACTTACTTTTAAGAAAGTTGAGCTTGTTGATTTAGCAGTTAATTTCTCATATTAAAACAAAATTGCTAAAAGTGGTTATGTGTTGCTAATTTTTGCGAGTGGGTATAACATTAAATTTTTTATGAGATTTCAATACTGTACTAATTTATCTTCGCATCTTGTTTGCTCAGGCATCAAGTACTTTTAAAAGTAGTAATGAAATACCTCCACTTTTTCCTCTATAGAGAAGCCCACCAGTGGCCAAGAGGTAAAGTCGCTGAACGCTGGTAGTTCGGTCCGAGGTACAAATCCCGCGAACGGGCTGGCTGCATGGGTGTTTTTCGTGGTTTTCCCCGTGTGTAACGTGTATACGAGCCAGTTTCCCATAGAAAGTCCTCCACGAAGGCATCCCTCCCCTTAGGCAGATATCCCTAGTGTGCGTTGCCATAATTAAATACACACCACTTCTATAGAGACTGACATGAACAACTTACATGGCGTGCAAGTTCAGAAGATAGACATCTAAATTTAAATTGAGATCTCTCATATTTAAATTAAGCTTCATATAGGCATATCATTTATTCTGATGGCAATATTTTTATTTATTATGCGGTTCAAAAGTTTCTTCTTTAAAGTTTCCAACGAATGTTTCAAAAATAACAAAAAGAACATTTATATAACACAATGAAATCATCAATGCAAGAGAAAATGGGAGTATGGAATTAAAACGCCAAGAAGCGAAACAGAATGATTAAATAACGTTGAAAATTACATAACAAACTGAATTAGTGAAACAGCCATTTTATTAAAATTCAAGAACATTGTATTATAACTAAACTTTCTATTTTATTAAAAGTGCAACCGCATGCTTAACACATGCTACTGAAAATTAAGAAACTCATGATTATGAAAGAAAATCATAAACCAGAATAACAGGATAATAAACTTGTTTGCATTTATATTTTTCAAACTGAATAAAATAAAATAAATTTTACTGACGCGAGTTCGAGAGTAAATTTTACCACTTGAAGCATTAAATCACATGATTAAAGACAGAAATCATAAAAACCTATTTTAAAAATTATGACTATCAAATTTGTTTACAATAATCACAAAAAAACTTACATATTTTACGGAATTTTAACCTTCACATTTGCTGAGGAAGCCTGCTGTAAAATTGCACATGAATCATTTTGTGGGTTTATTTCGAGCTATCACATCTTGCAGAATTTTCACACAAAAATTGTTGTCGGACCTCTCTTTCCATTCATCGGTTGAATAAATTTCCTGCAGATGATCAGAAAAAAATTCCAAAGCACTTTGGTACAAATTATCAACGTGATGCATAATAGCTAACTGGAGAATTTTGAGCACATTTGCGACAGTAACACTGAGTTTGCACACATTTTTGAGAGCAGAAACATCATACTTTTCAGCTACTCCATAAAGCTGAATAACTGTTTCTTCGGATAGTTCTTCCACATTTCCAGTGTACAGAAAAAGAAGCATTTGATGCATAATATCAGAATCCACATCAGGAATCTCCACCTGGTCGTTTCGCGATTCTGTCATTTCGGTTTCGAACATTCTGCAAAACACCGATGACTGAGAACACAGAATAAATTTATGCACGGAAAATCTTCTCGATTTAGCAACTACAGTAACGTCGGATAATGTTCCATTTTCGTAAAGATTTCGAAGGCTTCTCTTTAAGTTACTATCTCCGAGAGAAGTTGCAAAGATGCAAGAAGATTCCAGAATCTTAGAATAAGCACTGCCATCAGATAATTTAAATTCGCATTTCAATAACAAGATATCCTCTGGATTCGAAGATATATTCCTCGAAAACTGAGCACATTTCCAGTTTTCATCAGTTTTAAAGAAATGTTCATTTTCAGAAGAATTATCGTCATCGAAGGATACTTTGGATCTCACAAAAATCGGCGCAAGTTGAGGCTCAGGTTTATTGTAAACGAAAACATCAAAGATCTGATCAGTTTCCTTTTTTTCGCAGACGCGTAACCTTAAACTCCATTTACTAAATTCCGGGATATTCGTCTTAAATTCGTGATGCAACTCTGTGTTAACGGGAAGGCTGGAGAAATTATCTATTGACCACACAAAGGAAAGTTTTCTTGTATAAAGGCGAGTTTCACATGTTTTTATGTTACCAGGTGTAGGGCCGAGAATGCGGAGTCCGTATTTTGCTGCAGTCATATAGACCTCCTCGAAGTTGAACACATATCCGATTAAATTGAATTTTCCAGTGTAAACATAATCGATCATGGCTTCCAGAACGCTGGATTCGATATCAAAATCCTGTTCGGAAGATTTTTGTTCATCGAGTTTTTTTGCCAGTTGAGGCCACCTCGCCCACAATATAGCTTTATGCACTTTGAATTCTGCACCCCGGGCACGCAATAAAACGTCCGTGAACAGTTCAGTTTTGTACGAAAGTGAAAGGTGTATCTCTTCTTCATTATTATCAGGAACTGGTTTCAAACTACATTTTATAATTAGTATATCGCAAATAACGGACTTTAAAAGTACACTTCTTTCAATGAATCTGGGAAAGCCGTATCCCCGATCCGGGTGTTCTTTTAGAAATGAAATTATTTTTGCAGGATCAGAAATCTCTGAGAAAATTTCTTTTCCATTGCGATCAAAGAATTGAAAGCTGCAACTCAACTTGCAGTCTTCTGGGATGTCATCTCTTCTACAGAGACAAATACTTACGTGCTCTGAATCTGGTTCATAACCTTTTGGATATAATAGAAGGCGCCATTTTTTTCCGGGCAAAGAGTTGGCAACAAAGCATGGGCTGTCGACATAGAATCGGACATGTTCCAGTTCACGATAATGGCACATGCTAAAATTCTTAATAATCCACACAAATGTAAAATCACAGTCGATCTGTTTCTCCATTGCATTGACGTATTTCCTTTCTATACTCCTTCCTCATCTGTTGCTAAAATAAACATTCGCATTTGAGCATTCACTTCCGCTTAAGGAACGCTCTTAATGGCTAAGCCGCTTTCAAAAGGAGCAGAACAGATCAGTGGTGGAAACCGGTTCTTCCAATGTGTCCCGTTCACATGCCCAGCAAGCGATAATTGCCTGTCGAGTAGGAGCATGATGGTAGGGATAAATGGAGATGCCATATCCGCAGGCACTAAAGAATGAGAAGGGTTGTGTGAGACTAAAGAATGAGAAGGGGGCCTTTCAGGGAAACGATGCCGATACAAATCCTCTTACGAAGGACACCGAAAGCTATGTGACGTCATGGCTTCAGCAGCTCGCCTACTGCCCACAGCTGTTCATTTGAAAGCTTAAATTCTTTACTTAGATTTAAACGAAGAGGTTTCTTTTACATGAAAATTATAACCGAATACACTTTTAAATTGAATTTATGTTTAGAAAATGTTTGGCTGCAACCGGAGAATATTGGGAAAAAAATGATGTCCTGTGTCTTCGCTACTTATAGTCCCGTGTATCATACATAATAAGAAACAAACAACATGGGATTTCATCGAGTTTCACATAGAAACAGTTAGTTTAACGAAAGAACGGGCTACACAGATGTCAAACAGCGGATACTGTGGAAAAAAAAATAATGCTTGAATATCAAGCATTTCATTCGGTAAATCTGATTATGAGGATATGAAAATGCTTGCAAGGATTGCCGAGAAAAAAAAAAGGGGGGGTCTGAAGTCAACTTCTGTTCCAACTGTTAATATTCGTGATCGGTTATTCACCAGAATGCACCAAGCAGTAAAGGCCAAGGAGGGGAAGGGGGCTTACAAAGTGCATTTGATAAAATTCCCAGTTTAAGTTCCAGAAAGACATATTTGGAACTGGAACATAATTACAATAGCCATGAGGGTTTAGGTGAATGTAATGCTACTAAGACATGTTCGCAATTGTCCCCGCCTCCAAAACAATGTGAATAATTTAATGATAAACTTATCAGCTCTTGAGAACAAAAATTCTGTTGTGCAGACTGTAAGAAAACAGAATTTAAAATTTTTCCCTAGAAAATAAATAAATAAAAAGGAAAAAAAATCTGAAAGCTTTCAGATTTTACATTGCGCCCAAAAAGTCGTATTTTAACGATCTACGTGTTACCTTTATTTATTAAATATCATGTTCTTCGCACTTAAACCATAAAATTAAATTCCACAGCAATATCGCAAAATAATTTTACAGTGAGCATATCTTTAGAATTTCCTATACAGAGACTCACGCGCTGGAGACAAAAATGTACTTTTCTTTTTCTTTTTTCCCAGTACAGTGGTGCCATTGCTCGATTTGAAATCGTTGAGTTTGTTAATCGAAAATTCGTTTAAGTGTTGCAAAATATGAAAAATAATAAATAAAATAATTAATAAAAAAATTCCAAATTAGGGGTTCTCGATGCATATATCCGGTGGTGAATTACGTTATTCAAAATTGAATGGCTCTACGTACAGTTGTTTTTTTCACAATGCGAGAAACATATATACATTTATGCAGATTCTTCATTATTTAATTTCTTTAAATATGACACAGAGCGATAATATTTGGTGGCAGCAATTTAAAAGTGTTTCGCTGTTTATAGCCAATCAACGCAATATGCCAAAACGAAATTAATAAGTCTTCTGGCTTATGGAACACATGAGTATACATACCAATATATATATAGTATATAAATACCGGTTTAAAATATTTTCATTCTTTTATAAGTAACCAGCAGCTTCGCTGTCAGCCTTCGTCTGGCTTTTAAATGTACCGGAAAAATGGCTGAAGGGAATATCAAACGTCAAATTTAAAAACTGCATCGAATTTTACTCTGAAGAACAACTTCATAAAAAAAAAGTTATTACCGTATAACAAAATTACAATGAAATAAGCAATACCCTTAATACAAATATTAATTATCCTAATAAATAAATTAACCAACTTCCCTTTGCAAAATCTTAAGAACCAAAATGGCATAAAGAAGGTTAAAACTTTGTTTCCTAAAAAAATTCACTCAAAACTTTTCAATATCTTAAAAACAGTGAAATGAGTATTTAAATAACATAAAGAATACAAAAACAAAAAATTCTGAAAAGCTGATAAGCGATTCTGATAAGTATAATGAATGATATTTTATCTTTATTTCAAGAGGGAAAAATTCCAATGAAATAAGCTATATTCCTTAATACAAATATTAATTATCCTAATAAAAAAATTAACCAACTTCCCTTTGCAAAATCTTAAGAAGCTCAAATGGTATAAAGAAGGTTAAGAACTTTATTTCCTAAAAAAAAAAATCACTCAAAACTTTTTCAATATCTTAAAAACAGTGAAATGAGCATTAAATAACATAAAAGAATACAAAACAAAAAATTCTGAAAAGCTGATAAGCTGATTCTGATAAGTATAATGAATGATATTTTATCTTATATTTTCAAGAGGAAAAAATTCCAATGAAATAAGCTATATTCCTTAATACAAATATTAATTATCCTAATAAAAAAATTAACCAACTTCCCTTTGCAAAATCTTAAGAACTCAAATGGTATAAAGAAGGTTAAAAACTTTGTTTCCTAAAAAAATCACTCAAAACTTTTCAATATCTTAAAAACAGTGAAATGAGCATTAAATAACATAAAAGAATACAAAAACAAAAAATTCTGAAAAGCTGATAAGCTGATTCTGATAAGTATAATGAATGATATTTTATCTTATATTTTCAAGAGGAAAAAATTCCAATGAAATAAGCTATATTCCTTAATACAAATATTAATTATCCTAATAAAAAAATTAACCAACTTCCCTTTGCAAAATCTTAAGAACTCAAATGGTATAAAGAAGGTTAAAAACTTTGTTTCCTAAAAAAATCACTCAAAACTTTTCAATATCTTAAAAACAGTGAAATGAGTATTAAATAACATAAAAGAATACAAAAACAAAAAATTCTGAAAAGCTGATAAGCTGATTCTGATAAGTATAATGAATGATATTTTATCTTATATTTTCAAGAGGAAAAAATTCCAATGAAATAAGCTATATTCCTTAATACAAATATTAATTATCCTAATAAAAAAAATTAACCAACTTTCCGTTGAAGAAAAAAAAATCATGCAAAACTTTTCAATATCTTACAAACAGTGAAATAAGCAAAAAATAACATGAAAGCAACTCAAAGAACATAAAATTCCGCGCAGAATTTTACTCTACAGAACAACTTTATCCCCCCCCCAAAAAAAAATAATAAAAAATAAAAAAAAAAATAAAAAAAATAATTAAAAAAATGTATTATATATATGTATAAATGACAATGAAATATGCCAATCTCTTAAAAGCAGTGACATAAGAAATACGATGAAAAATTGTTGCCAAACCCATATCTCTAAAAGAATGAAACTATTCAAAATGATGCGATTTCATCAAAAATGTATAAACAATAAGACAGGAAAATTGTTGCCAAAATCACATTTTTAAAGATGTGAGATGTGAGAAGTGTACTCGGAAGCTTCATTAAAATTTTTTTTTTTTAAATACAAAATATTATCATTTTTCGAAAATTCTTTTTGTAAGGCAGTCACAAGGATGAAAGTTTAACGTGTAAAAAAAATCAAAGAAAAATAAACTGTACATTTTAAAAATAAAATTTTTTAGAAAAAATCCCGTTGAAAAGATGTTAAGCTCCCTTTGTTAAATAAATTCGTATTGAATCGATTTACTGAAACACGAAATTTATTTTAAGTTCGTAAAATAGCTAAGTGCCTACGTTTCATGACGATGTGAAAATGGAGTGTGTAGAGTAAAATCTCGCTTTCCTATAGCCCATTATGTCTCAAAATGACGCGATTTCGTCACAAAACATAAAATTTAAAAAAAAAAAAAAAAAAAAAAAAAAAAAAAAAATTCGAATTCGAATTTCGAAAAAATCGCTTGGAGGTGCACTGGCTCTTGTCTAGATGCACCTATGTACGAAATTCCGTAGCCGTGGGTCTATTAGCTTACGCGCAGTGCGAACGAAAGACACACACACACAGACAGACTCTTTCTTTTATTATATATAGAGATTAACGCTGCACAATAATGGTGGTGATCCATAATAGTGCTTTTATAATAGTCATTACAAAATCTTAGAATAATCTGATTAATTCATTCCTAGTGCTCATTGAAACACAGAAATAAGAGAAGAGAAATTTGTTTTGATATAGTCTATTATGAAATTTATTACTAGCATTAATTAATTTCTAGTTAGGTTGATGCGTAAGGCCTTTGTGCATATATTCTGAAGATGTAGGACTTGCTTAATTTTATTTAATATTTCCATAATGCAAATTATTTTACGACTCACATTAAAATCTTTATTTGTGGTATTTTAACGCAAAAAAGAATTTAAGTGTAGAAATTTATCACTGTTTATTGTGATTTACATATATTTAAAAAAGTATTGTGAAAAAATGAACTACATTTAACATACATTTGACCTTAAAAATTAGTCTAAACTTATGTTTTATGCGTACTAAAGTTTAGTTTAGCATGCCACAACTACATTACCAATTTAACATATAATTTTGTGAGCTAAAATATCGTCTCATATTATTAGCCCAAAGGACCTTAGCCCAGGAGGGCTATTAATTTCGTTCGGCATTTTGCGTTGATTCGATATAAATGGCGAATCACTTTCTAAATTGTTTCCACCAACTATTACAGCTTGTATTATACTGAAAGAAATTAAATAATGAAGTATCTGCATAAATGTATGCATGTTTCTCGCGTTCTGATAAAACAACGGTACATAGAGCCATCGAATTTTGAATGACGCAATCCTCCGCTGAATATGGGCATTTGGAAGCCCTAATTTGGAATTTGTTTTATAAACGATTTCATATTTTGTAACACTTATGCGAATTTTTGATTGACCAAACTAAACGATTTCAAAGCGAGCAGTGGCAACACTGCCGGAAAAAAAAAAGAATCTGATGAATT